TGTGTGTGAGTGTGTGTGTGTGTTTGTGTGTGAGTGTGTGTGTGTGTGTGTGTGTGTAACTTTATACGTTACAGAGCTAGAAAGAGGGTCTTGAGGATGGAGGAAGAGACTTAAAGGAAATGGGAAGTGGAACCAGTAGAATGAAAAGCAGAAGGGAGAAGGAACTGGTGAGGGGAGCAGGTGGAGGGGGAGGGGAGCAGGCAGAGGGGGAAGGGAGAAGGGAACATGGGCGAGGGAGGTTCAAGGAGAGTGACAGCTGAGAAAACATCTGGAAGCTATGTTTGAAGAGTCCATCACTTTGTATAGAGGCCTAAAAAAAAGGTAGTTTGAAAGAGGGTAAAGGGAGCTACCAGCCACAGGAAATCAGGGACGGGCATGATGGAACCTGCTAAGTGGAAGAAGCTACTCTAAAAAGACAAGCCACCCTGCCTGCCATTCTGGGAAAGGCAAAGCTATAGCAATAGTGAAAGACAATGGCTTGCTGAGGGACTTGCTGAGGGTGGATGGGTGCAGGGTGGAAACCAGGGAGCTGGAGGCCAGTGAAACTCTTCTGTGTGATGTTGTAGACGCCTGACTTTTATACATTTGCCAGAGCATACAGGACCTCACAAGGCAAAGAATAGGCTCAAATGTGCCCCAATACCTTCCATTCCGGTTGACCAGTTGTGACAAGTGGGCCACACTTCGACAAACTGTGAGACACACCTTCTGTTCATTTGTCCATAAATCTGAAACCGTACTAAATTCTCTGTCACTTGATGCCGAAGCAGTCAGGGCCAGCAGTCGGGGCCAGGATGCAGCTCTGCGAGAGAATGAGTGTGGAACGTTCACAATGTCTGAAATCCTAGGCTTCATGCCAGCACTGAAAACCCTGTATGTGACAGGGGTCCTAATTCTAACCTTGAAATTTTGAGCTCAATTTCCAGAGATAGGTAGGAGCTTATCAAATACATCCAGAAAGGGTGTCCAAGTGGCTCAGTGGGGACAGAACACCATGCGTCCTGAACATAATTGACACTGGTATGTTTGTTACTTTCATGTCACTGTGACTGAGATGCACCCGAGGGCTCCTGGTTTCAGATGAGTCCATCAATGGTAGTTTAGTCCCATATACTTGAGCAAAGGATCATGGTAGTAGGAGAAGTGTGTGGCAGAGACTGTCTTTTAGAAGACAGGAAGTAAAGAAAGAGCAGCGGGACCAAGGACCAGGTATGGTCTTGAAAGGCATGCCTACAATGATCAGATGCCTTCCAGTAGGCACCACCCTCTGAAGTTTCCAGAACTTGCACAAATAGTGCCATCAACTGGAGGCCAAGCCATCAGCACAAGCACCTGTGGTGTGCAGGGAGGGAGGGGCTCACATTACATCATGTCCAAAGAGAAGAGGGTTGGGTTTACTTCCCTCGGTAAGTTTTACAAGTATTAAATGCAGGAGCCCTAAGATACAGTTGACTGCATACACACACATCAGAATGGGGAGCTCTGTTGTCAGTCATTTAGCTGATGTGATCCCTCTGATGATGACAGTTTGGGAGCAGGGGTTTCACAGGAACACAGTTTTATTGTGGTGCTCAGGAAGAAGAATTGGGGCAAGGTTTAAATCCAAGCACCACCATTTCTACTCAGACCTCCCCACTGCTCTAAGACTCTGTTTCCCCATCTCTGAGAGAGAAAACCTACTTCCTGGGGCCATTTAAAGTTAGGTGCCTAAGCATGGAAGGTCCTCTGTGTGCTGAGCTCATGTGGCTCTTCCAGGGTGGAGGTTTGGTGAGAAGATGGGCCTGACTGTTGCTAGTGGTTGTGCTTTGGGGTTGAACATCCCTGGGGTACCATGAGCTCTCTGACCGCATCTCTTTGTCCACAGGGATGTGTCTGCAGGCATTTGTTGAAGCTTTCTTCTTCCTGGCCCAGAGGAAGTTCAAGCTGCAACCTCTCCATGAGCAGGTGGCATCCTTGATCGACCTGTGTGAATACCACCTGTCCCTGCTGGATGAAAAACGCTTGGTGTGCCGTCGGGGCCAGCCCCACCAAAGAAATCCCCCCCAGATGAACCGCCCAGCCCATTCAGCTGCAGACAGCTCTGCACCCCGAGTTATTGGGGCTAGCAAGCTCTCTCACTCCTGACATGCTCTGTCCTGAAGGCCACTCTGTCCTGGAAGAAGGTGTGCCCATGGGGGCTGAGTACCCTGGGCTCCCCCAATCTGTTGGGAGCCACTAGGGTTCCAGCTCAATCACCTGTGCATCCTCTCTGTGTTCCGTAGGGCTTTTGCCTCCCATGGCCATCCTTGCCCACCCCCTTTCCCAGCACCTCATGGTGACCCACCCTGTTTGGGAATCATCAGTGGACATATGACATCCAAGATGTGACAGATGGCACCTACTATTCTGGGCTCCTGGGAAGCACCAACTGGGGCATTCTGCTGTGCTTGGGGCCGCAGGGGAATGGAGAGTGAAGAGGGGGGGGAGTGAAGGACAGACCATCCTAAGGCAGAGAGCTGTGGATGTGGAGAACAGTAACACCGGGGTCTGCTGGGGCCCTGAGAGCCTGCTGGTCAGAGCTTAGCATCATTCCATGTCTTTCCTTCAGCCCATTCCCTGAAATGACGAAGGCGGACACCCCCGATCATGTGCTGCACGGGTGTCCTTTACAGACTGACCTCACTTGTTTGTTAACTTGCCTGTTGCTGCAATGTTTGATTTATTACTAATCAAGAAATAATTAAGAAATAACACAGTAAGGTTCTTCAGTCTCCCCATCCAGGTTCCAGGGGACCCCTGCAAAGTTGGGGCACTGACCCAATGGCCAAGAGCCACTGTGTACCCAGCACTGTGCTGTCAGCCCGGAGTGAGGGGAGGGGCTTCAGAGGGGAGAATGTAAGGCCCCCGATGAGAGCCAGGACAAGCAGGAGTGTGTGAAGAGCATGTGGTAGCCTAGACCAGAACAACCAGTGTTCTCGAATGTCTACTCCAAGGGGCAGAGGTGGAAGGCCTTGGTTCCTGCTCTCGGGACCCAAGTGGGTTTCACAGAAGTCCCAAATGAGAAGTGTGTGGGGACATTCTTTAACCAGCCTCGAGCTGTACAGCTGTAAAAAGCTATTAAATAAAGCTTTGACTGGACACTTTCTCAAAATGAGTCTTTAGAAAGTGGTCACCAGCATGGAGCAAGCAGAGTCTGGGGGCGGGGCAGGGGGGAAACGGGTTCAAGAGGTTGAACTCAGCCACACTGCGACAATATAAAAACTGACTACAAGTCAGCATTTGTAGTGAGCACTGGCCTCCACGCAACGCTTATCATCTGAAGGTAGGCCACTGTTGTGTGTACAGTTTCAGAGCCGTTCTGTCCTGGGAGTGGGCCCCTGGGTCTGTCGCACATGACCTTGGTGGGCTTCATACCCCGAGGATGTGACTCCATTGTCCGTGGTGGTCACAGAAGCCTGTCACTGACAAGTTGGCTCCTACCCCAGGACTGTTAGATTTTCGGGGCTGCTGTACTTTAAGAGGCAACACCAGGAGACTTCTGTCCCCACTTCCGCTTCTCAGAGGCACCACTGGGCTTACTTGCTTTGAGGACTAGCCCCTCTCTGGAAGGTGTGAAAGTGAACTGAGAGATGGTTCCTGTCAGGGAAGGAGCTGAGCTAGAGAGCCCAGGCAGACCCAGGCCTGAGCGGGAGAGCCCAGGCAGTCCCAGGGGGTGCCTCTGTGAATGCTGCATGCTCTGTGACTGCCTGTGTCTTAGGTCCCTTCTTTACAAAGACTCTAGAGATCCATCCCAGCCTGCAGACAAGGCTGAGCTTTTAATCTGCCTGAGGCTGGAGCTGTGACCCACCCCCGACCCCTCTTGCCAGAAGGGAGCCTACAAGGACACAGCATTGAGTTTAGTGGTTTAAATACTGGTCCTACAAGATGCCTACCCCCATCTGTAACCCCAGCACAACAGGGCCTCCCGTAGCTCTGTGCTTCCACTTTCCAAAGAAGTATTGGGGAAAAGGGGGTTCCCCCCCCCATTTATTACCTCAGGAACTGTATGTCTTCTCCCTAGCTCAGACCTAAGCAAGTCTCTCTCAGATATGACCCCAGGCCCCTCTGTCTTTTCCTCCCTAACATCCTGGAGGGAGCAAGAACACCAGAGAGCCTTCAAATCCTGCTGAAACTGCCCCCACTCCCCCGCCCAGGCAAGGACCTTTGATCAAGCCCCTCCCTTTCTTCCCCATGAACACCCCCCACAGTCCTGGTTTCGACTCTCTGGCTTCCCAGAACACTTAGAGTCTGTTGTCAGGAAAACAATAAGAAGACTCTGGCAGGCCCCTGCTCCGGACTCCCCTCCAAACCCTTGCTGCTTGCCAGTGCCACCAAGTCCAGTCAGGCAGATCCCTCTAAGTAACAAAAATCAACTGCCAAGGTTCAGCTCAAGCATCCTGCTACAGCCCCCCCCCCACATTCCCGTCACCCTTACAGAATGAGCAGCTTCTTCCGTATATGCCCAGGAGCCCAGGAAGTCCCCTTCTTTGTCAAACTTACCTATGGGATCCCAGCTGTGACTTCTTTTCAGGGTCAGGCATGTGCTGTTGGATCTAAGCCAGCTGCTAGGGCAAGGAACATCCGTCCAGCAGGTGCTTGTTGAAGTGACAGGAAACTGAGCAGCTCCAGGGAAGGAGACATTTGCCTCTGCATACTGTGAATGTCCTTAAGAATCATGACTATTTATTTATTTTTGGCTTTTCGAGACAGGGTTTCTCTGTGTAGTCCTGGCTGTCCTGGAACTCACTCTGTAGACCAGGCTGTCCTCGAACTCAGAAATCTGCCTGCCTCTGCCTCCCAAGTGTTGGGATTAAAGGCGTGTGCCACCACTACCTGGCGAATCATGACTTTCTAAGCTTCGCTGAGCTACCTGGCTGGAGATCCCCAGATTCTCAATTGGCTGCTCCCTTCCCCAAGCATGGCGGCTGTCTCATGAGCCCATGAATAGGCAATGACTTTGCTGACCCTTGAGCCTTTCAACAGCCAGATTTCATGTGCTCTTCAGCTCAGGTCCTAGGCCTATTGGACTTGTAGGTGTGTGTGTGTGTGTGTGTGTGTGTGTGTGTGTGTGACACACACACACCTCTCCTTCAGCCTTGGACTCCAGGAACTGCTAGGCTGTATGGCCTTGGCTCTGTTCCTCATGGGTGTCCACCCTGTCTCCCCCTCTTACGTCACACCACCCATTCAGAGAAGGTAGTCTGCTGTGAACGTAGGTAGTTAGGGAGTAGGTTTGGACAGGCATTTGAAAACCATTACATGTCTTTCTAGATTATTCTAAAGACTCCCTTTCTTGCATGAATGAACATGTTCTCAGTGTTTCATAGTTCAAAGGGTTTTTTTTTTTAAATTTGTTTTCTTGTCTGATCCTCCCAGCTACCCAGTGAAAGATGAGAACTGTTACCAGTCTTTCTAACACCCATCCAAAGCCCAGTTAGGCAGACGTGGCAGCCCATGCTGCCAGGAAGCTAATCCTTCCATCAGAGCATCCCCGGGAATTCTAGGGACATGAGCCCTCTGACTTATTCCTCTATTACACGGACTGTAAGGGCTCCAGGTCCTTGACCACCTAACTAGGTGATGCCCTTTCTCCATGTCTTGGGAAGAAAGATTCGGCAAGACAACAAAAGACATGGTAAATGCAGAAGTATTTATACAAACCATGTGCTGGCGGGACATTTGCTTGCCTTCACACTTGCTTCTGGGTTCTAGCAACTGTAACAGGACAGAAGTAAAAGCTTTCTAGAATAATGTCAATCAAGATGAATGAAACCGGAGTGACTGGCTCCCTCACCCCTCCAGGCTGCCTTTCATCTACGCGCACTTGAAGCCATTCATTGCCGCTCCTCAAATGTCTGGAGTTGGCCTTCTGATTGGCAGAGGTACTACTCCAAATGGCTCAAATTGCCCCGCTTCGTTCGTTGGTTAACGTCCTTTAGTCCTCAGCCCAGTCCTTTAGTGAGTGAGAGCTGGGCCGGCAGTGCTTGGCACTGGGTACCTGCTCTCGAAGCTCAGGACTCATGAGCTCCCATCTGGGAGCAGCATTCCCAGCAGCCGAGAGCTGCCTGAGCGCAAAGAGGGGGATTCACCAGTGAGCACTACAGCCTGAAACCTCCCTAGCCTCTGTTGGTAATGTTGCCACTCTCCCACTGCTGTTGATGAAATTTTCCCACACACTGTTTCTCACAAAATAATGCAATATGTGTTTCTTGTTCTCAGAGACAAAGAAACTGGACAGCTTTCCAGTTGCCTATTCTTATGACCGAAAGTCTTGCTTTGCTTTAACTGGCAAAAACATGCTGCCTTTGTTTATACTTACACATCCATGCACACACACCCACATACACCTGTGTACACATACACACTCATGCATGC